AATATATACCAAATTCCTTAGAAAATGAATCGTTTCAACTACACTAACAAAAAAAAATCTGTGGATATATTTTTTTGCAATAAATAACTGGAATTAAAAAGATCTCACAGATGAAGAAGAAACTTGAAGCAAGAGAAATGTGGTACTACAGAAGGATGGTGAGAATACCATAGATCAAACCTTTTAGCAACGACGAACTTCTGGCAAAAATTGAAAACTAAAATATACTTAACAATGAGGAAGAAGCAGTTGACATTTCTAGGACACATAATGAGGAAAGAAGGCTTGAAAAATATGATATTCACAAGATAGATTGAAATCAAGAGGGACAGAGGAAAACAACGTATAACCCATCTGGCGAGCGAGTAACTGGTTGGCGGAACTAGGTTTGTCAGAGATAACAAAACGACAAAATTTAAGAAATATAAAGAACATTGTGGTGAGCTATAATCATCAACGCCGTGGCATATAGAAAGAGAATGCAGAAACAGTCCGTTTTTTCAGTTATTTTTTATTAGTCGGAAATCTTTGTCGCCATATTTGTCAGGCCGTCCTCCGTAATTTCGAACTTTTATTTCGATTGGGGTAGATTGTTCTAGTTCCACGTGCCATGTTTGATGGATGTCAGTTTCAGTTATTCCTGCAATTTTCCCTCTGAAAGTTCTCCACTGCCTTAACCGGGGTCTGTCACTGGATCTAACCAACGCCTTTATCCACTTGCCATGGCATGTCGAACCTATAAATTTACATAATACCTCATCTCAGAAATATGGACAGACTCGGTAGGCGTTTTCGTTAGTCATTTTCAACGAGGTACATTGTTAATTTGTCTATATTTCTGAGATGAGGTATTATGTTGCTATTTACATTAGTCAGACTATTGTCCTCATCTTTGTCGCCATATTTGTCACAACGTTTCGGCCGTTGTACGCTCCGGCCTTCTTCAGGTGGTTGGAATTTCGAACTGAACCCTTTATTTCGATCGCTGGGGTAGACTGTTCTAATTCCACGTGCCATGTTTTGATGGATGTCAGTTATCTCCTGCTAATTTTCCCTCTGAAAGTTCTCCACTGCTTAACCAGGAATTGAACTCACCTTCTTTGGGTCTGTCACTGGATCTAACCAACGCCTTTATCCACTGTGCCATGTGTCCTTGAGGACATCTGGGTATGAACTTCTGAGTATTATAAACCTAATGTTTTTTTTCAGCATCATTTTTTACCAGTGCTCATATTGCAATTTTTGCTGTTATCATTGCATGTCTTTACCAGAGTTCATATTGCAACTTTGTTATCATTGCTTTTCTCTGGCACTCCTTATTACTGGTTCCCATATTGTATTTATTTCTATGCTTGGTCGGCTCAGGAGATTTTGTGGCCTAGCATATGTGCTGATTCATTAAGTTTACGAATTTTCCAATGGTGTTCCCTGTCTATGATCTCAACATGATCCCACAGGGGCGGTGATCTCCTTCTCTCTCCCATATGTGGTCAGCCACGCCTGATTTTCTACTTCCCCTCGCGTTACAGCTTTCTGGTGTTCTTGAAGCCTTACCTTGAGGGGGCGGCCTGTCTCTCCTTTATATTCCTTTCCGCATCTGCATGGGATAGCGTACACACAGTCTTTAGTCATGTTCCTCTCTATGGGGGGTCTCACTCGTGAGAGATACCTGCAAGTGTTGTCACGCTTTTGAAGGTTGTCTTGATGTTATAAGGACCGCAGATCCTTTGTATTTTCTCTGATAACCCCTTCACATAAGGCAGGCAGACTGTTTTTCTGAGTGTTGTTGTCCTCCTCCTCCTCCTCTTGTACCCGCCTATCCCAGTTTTGGGGGGCTGCTGCCATGTACCCAGGGTAGTTGTTGCGTTGTAGGTACTACTTATACTGACCAATTCCTTATCTAACGTCTCTGGATCGCCACTTATGACTTTTGCTCGATGTTGTAAGCATCGGACGATCCCACGCTGTATGGATGGTGGGAATTGAAAGAGAGTCCGGTGAATGTTGGTTTACGGTATACGGATGTCTTGAACCCATTCTCTGTTCGAGATATTAGTACATCCAGGAATGGGGTGAGTTGTTACTCTCTTTCTCCATTGAACTGTATCGAAGGTCTTATTGGTTCATGGTCCAGACACTTCTTCCTGATGTGGCCAGTAATCTACCAAACCATATAGTTGGCTTTAGCGATATAGACTCTAATGCCATTTCTTCAAAGTATTCCATGTATATATTCGCCATTGCTGGTCCATTGCTAAGCCCTCATCCTGTCGATATATAGATCCCATTCCAAGTGTGTTGTTTGTGTACAGTCAACATCTCCATCAGATTATCTATTGGAATACTGGTCCCGCTCCTCTAGGGAAGAGTCAGAATATAATCTATCTCTGACTACTGAGAGTTCCTCCGTGGGTACCTTGGTGAACAGACTCACCACGTCCAAGCTCACCATCTGGTTGGATGGGATGGGAGCATCTTTGATTATTTCCACGAAGTGGGCGGAATTCGGACATATGAAGGAGACTTTCCGATCAAAAATTATATCTACAAGGGAAGCGACTCAGAGGGTGGCACACAGAGCCTTGGCACTAACAATCAGCCTGATGGAATCTTAGGGAGACCGTATATGTGAGGTAACTTGCTGTAACGGCGATAACTGCCTATACGTCTTGGGTCCAAGTGATCCTTGTTCTTGATTAGGATCTGTGACAGTTTGCGTTCCGTTTTCATAGTAGGATCTTTCTTCACTATGAACTACCATTGCTAATGAGGTCTTCAGTTTTCTTGTATAGTCCGATTTGTCCATCACTACAGTCGCATTACCTTTGTCAGCCGGTAGTATGATGATGTTCTCATTCCTCTGTAGTGATTCAATCGCCATCTCTCCTGTTTGTTATGTTAGACCTGGGCAATAAGGCCTGTCTCCTTTCCATCTCATTTCATCCGCCTGAGCCTGGGGATGTTCAACCACCTCCTCTAACTGGCAATGATGTCCAAGTGGCACCCGCCTGATGGTTGTGGCGAGTTGGGAATGATCAATACTGACTCCTCAGAGGCACTCATGAATTGGTTCTTCTGGACCTAATAAGACCTTCGATACAGTTCACAATGGATAAAGAGAACAACAACTCACTCCATTCCTGGATGTACTAATATCTCGAACAGAGAATGGGTTCAAGACATCCGTAAAAACCAACATTCACCGGACAGTACCTCAATTTCAACTCCACCATCCATACAGCGTAAAGATGTCGTCAACCCTGGGTACATGGCAGCAGCCCCCAAAAATGAGTCACAAAGGGAGGAGATGGAGAAAACAGTCTACCTGTATTATGTGAAGGTTTAAAATACAAAGGATCTGCGGTCCTTATAACATCATGACAACCAAGGACACTTCGCAGGTATCCCCCCAAAGAACGCTATCCCATGCAGTGAGGCCGCCCCCCTCAAGGTGAGTTCAAGAACACCAAGCTGTAACGCTGAAAAAAAATCAGGCGTGGAGAACTTATGGAGAAGGGAAATTATCATGTTGAGATAACTTGGAAATCCATAAACTTAAACATCAGCACATATGCTGGAATTAGAAAGCATAGTAAATACAATATAGGAACCAGTAATAAGATCGAAATAAAGGATAACAAAGTCTGGTAAAGACATGCAATGATAACAGCAAAAATGAATGAGCACTGGTAAAAATGATGCTGAAAACATTGGGTTTATAATACTCAGAGTTCATACCATGTCCTCAAGGACAAAATGAATAAAGGCGTTGGTTAGCGTTTTCAACGTTTTCAGAGGGAAAATGCAAAGATTAGTACGACTAATGTAAATACTGTACATTGTTAATGTTTTCAATTTTAGTATTGAATAAAAATGGTTTCAATTTTATATATATATATATATATATATATATATATATATATATATATATATATATATATATATATATATATATATATATATATATATATATATATATATATATATATATATATGAATGATGTGAGTACGGAAATTGTGACACTGAAATCTGAACGACCATCAGGAAAACGAAATGTACATTCCAAAAGACTCACAGTTTCCTGTTCGTCTGGGACATAAATGAATCCGGCCCATTTGAATCTGGTGTCCTAAACAGGGCTTCTCCAGACGCAGGAGTATCTCCATATTATATATAAGCCCCTTGTTTCTCCTTGCAATCTCTTTTTGCTGTACAGATATATGTGGCATATAGTTCTCCCGCGTGGGGCATATATATATATATATATATATATATATATGTATGTATATATATCTATGTGTGTGTGTGTGTGTCTTAGTAGTATAAATGTCTCTCTGAAAACAGAGCATGTTTGTCGTTCCTTTTGCTTTTAGCCATTCTGTTCCGCCCTTGAAATAAAGTTATTATGTGATGGATATAATAGTGCCGATAACAGTGGACAAAACAAATGGGAAAATAAATAATTATTCCATAGGCCTCTCCAGTTACAATGGGAACAAAAAGAACACATACTTAACACCTGAAAGAGACTGTGGAAACCTGTAAGGCGCAGAATGAAGAAAGAGAGCCTAGTAAATTTGATACTCGCAGGGCATATTGAAGGCAAGAACAACAGAGGAAAACAGCTCATAACCTACCTAACGAGCTCATGTAAATGTTTTGGCAGAACAGAGTTTAAGGGTGATAGCAAAAAAGACAAACATTTTCTACAAAGGGACATTCTGAAAATTGAGAAATTGTGGAGAAACATGTCATGAAGGGACGTATAGCATAAAAGACGAACAGCTATTTACATCTTTTTGGCACATGAGAAAAAATTCGGTGAATGTACACCGAATCCCGTAAAAAAATGAATAGTTTCAACAGCACTAACGGAACAAATATATGGCTATATTTTTTTGCAATAAATAAGCGTAGAATTGAAACGATAGGCTAACTTCGCCATCAGCTTCCGACCTTATTCTGATATTATCCTGATTCCAACTTCTTACCTGAGTTAATGCACCCAAATGCGTTCACCTCTTTCACCTTGGAAAAGAAGGTGAAGGAATTGAAAGAATGTGTAAGTGAGTCATATTACCTTTGAATGAAAAGACGAAAATATGGCGCGTATTTCGTCAGTGTCTGCACCATCAGGGTGGGAAAAAATTTTTCGTTTTTTTTTATATTAACAGTGCCACGCACAATTTGTCGAGAAACATTCCATAAAAAGAAATTCGGTTTCATTACGTATGTGATTTTTGGCTCAATCAGTATTTCTTTAAACAATATTTATTAATCATAAATTTTATCACATTTTTGTTTTTCTACCTTTTCTGTTGTTTTTGTGATTTCGTTATTTTTTTCTAGTATTTTTTTCCATTCATAATTCTCTTTGTTGATTTTATTTTTGTTTTTTCTGCATTTGTCAGCACTACTTCTTTCTTTCTTTTTTCTTTCTTTCTTTCTTTCTTTTTCTTTCTTTCTTTTTTCTTTCTTCTTTTCTTTTTTCTTTCTTTCTTCTTCTTCTTTCTTTCTTTTTCTTTTTTTTCTTTTTTTCTTTTTCTTTTTCTTTCTTTTTCTTTTTTCTTATTTCGTTCTTTCTTTTTTCTTATTTCGTTCTTTCTTTTTTCTTTCTTTCTTTTTTCTTTTTCTTTCTTTCTTTCTTTCTTTCTTTCTTTCTTTCTTTCTTTCTTTCTTTCTTTCTACTTTTCCATTCCCTTCATTTTTTTCTTTTTGATCTTTTTTTCCGGATTATTCGTCTCCTTTCATTCCCTTCATCTTTCTTTCTTTCTTTTTTTTCTTTATTTGTTTCTTCTTTTTTGTTTCTTTCTTTTTTTGTTTCTTTCTTTTTTGTTTGTTTGTTTGTTTCTTTCTTTCTTTTTCTTTCTTTCTTACTTTCTTTCTTTTTTCTTTCTTTCTTTTTTCTTATTTCTTTTCTTTTTCATTCTAGTAACTTTCTTTCCTTTAAAACACGTTTTTCTTTCTTTTTCTTTCTTTCTTTCTTTCTTTTTTCTTTCTTTCTTTTTTCTTATTTCTTTTCTTTTTCATTCTAGTAACATTCTTTCCTTTAAAACACGTTTTTCTTTCTTTTTCTTTCTTTCTTTCTTTTTTCTTTCTTTCTTTTTTCTTATTTCTTTTCTTTTTCATTCTAGTAACTTTCTTTCCTTTAAAACACGTTTTTCTTTCTTTCTTTCTTTTTCTTTCTTTCTTTCTTTCTTTCTTTTTTCTTATTTCTTTTCTTTTTCATTCTAGTAACTTTCTTTCCTTTAAAACACGTTTTTCTTTCTTTTTCTTTCTTTCTTTCTTTCTTTTTTCTTTCTTTCTTTTTTCTTATTTCTTTTCTTTTTCATTCTAGTAACTTTCTTTCCTTTAAAACACGTTTTTCTTTCTTTCTTTTTCTTTCTTTCTTTCTTTCTTTTTTCTTATTTCTTTTCTTTTTCATTCTAGTAACTTTCTTTCCTTTAAAACACGTTTTTCTTTCTTTCTTTTTCTTTCTTTCTTTCTTTCTTTCTTTTTTCTTATTTCTTTTCTTTTTCATTCTAGTAACTTTCTTTCCTTTAAAACACGTTTTCTTTTCTTTCTTTTCTTTCTTTCTTTCTTTCTTTTTTTCTTATTTCTTTTCTTTTTCATTCTAGTAACTTTCTTTCCTTTAAAACACGTTTTTCTTTTCTTTTCTTTCTTTCTTTCTTTCTTTTTTCTTTTTCTTTCTTTCTTTTTTCTTATTTCTTTTCTTTTTTCATTCTAGTAACTTTCTTTCCTTTAAAAAACACGTTTTCTTTCTTTCTTTTCTTTTCTTTCTTTCTTTCTTTCTTTTTTTTTCTTATTTCTTTTCTTTTTCATTCTAGTAACTTTCTTTCCTTTAAAACACGTTTTTCTTTTCTTTTTTTTCTTTTCTTTCTTTCTTTCTTTTTTTCTTTCTTTCTTTTTTTTTTTATTTCTTTTCTTTTCATTCTAGTAACTTTCTTTCCTTTAAAACACGTTTTTCTTTCTTTCTTTTTCTTTCTTTCTTTCTTTCTTTCTTTCTTTTTTCTTATTTCTTTTCTTTTTCATTCTAGTAACTTTCTTTCCTTTAAAACACGTTTTTCTTTTCTTTCTTTTTCTTTCTTTCTTTCTTTCTTTTTTCTTATTTCTTTTCTTTTTCATTCTAGTAACTTTCTTTCCTTTAAAACACGTTTTTCTTTCTTTCTTATAAAATCTTTTTCTTTCTTTTTTCGTTTTTTCTTTAAGTCACTTTCTTGCTTAAGCTTTTGCTTTTGCTGTCATCTTTCTTACTTTCTGTCATTTCTTTCAAGTAACTTTCTTTCCGTCCTAATGATTTTTCTTTCTTTTTTTTCCAACCCTTTTCTTTCTTTCTTACTTCTAATTTCCTCTTGTTGCATCTTTCTCATTGTCTTCTGACTCAATATCTTTAAACTGATACCTTTGTTTGTTTTTTCTTTCTTTCTTTCTTTCTTTCTTTCTTTCTTTCTTTCTTTCTTTCTTTCTTTCTTTCTTTCCCCTCTCTCTTTATCTTCTTTCTTTCTTTCTTTCTTTCAGGCTGGTCTCTTTATGTTGCTTTTATGTATTTCATTTCTTTCAATTTGCTTTTTCTATTTTTCATTATTTTTTTCTTTCACGTAACTTTATTTCCTTTAAAATACATTTTTCATTTCTTTTTCCAAAGCGTTGTCTTTCTTTCTTTCTTTCTTTCTTTTTCTTTCTTTCTTTCTTTCTTTCTTTCTTTCTTTCTTTTTTTCTTTCTTTCTTCTAATTTCCCTTTGTTCTTTCTTTTCTACTCCCGCAATTTTTTTAAATTGATACCTTTTAGCCTCATCCATTTTTCTTGTTTTGTATTTTTTATTCTTTCTTTCCTTCTTTTTTTTTTCTTTCTTTCTTTCTTTCTTTCTTTCTTTTTTCTTTCTTTCTTTCTTTTCACGTCTGTGTTTTTTCTATGTCACTTTTACCTTTCTTTCAATTTTTTCTTTCTTTTATTGCCAGAGTTTCAATAAATTGATACCTTTTAGGTTCGTCTATTTTTTGTTTTTCTCTATCTATCTATCTATCTATCTATCTATCTATCTCTATCTATCTATCCTATCTCTTCTCTTCTTTTCTTTGTTTCTTTCCTTGTTTCTTTCTTTTTTCAGTAATTCATTTATAAAGTGCGTACAAAAGTACCCAGAATAAATAAATTGATAATAAATTAAGCAGTTGATTTTCACTTTTGCCCTCACCTAATATTTCTTTCGCAAGGTTTCTTCACTCGCTGACCTTCAAAAAACGAACGAAATCCAATGGACCAGAAATAGAAACAGATGCGCGCTCTCTGTTGCCACTTCTTTTTGTTATAATGCTATACTGTCTTCATCAATATTTACTCTCTGTCCCAAACTAATACTACCAATGCCAGCACAGAAACAACATATGTGCCTCCTCCTCTTCCAACACCTCCTCTTGCAATATTATGACTACTGCTTCCCGACGGAAAACAAACAAGCAAAGGTTATATACGACCTTTGCTAGAGAGCTGAAAGAAATTTTTAGTATGAAATTAACTGTTGAACCTATCATTACTAGAGTACTTAATCAGTAACAAAGAGGGTTCTGAACACCTTGCAAGAATTGGAAACTAGGAGAAGAATTGAAACCACTAAGTTGGCAGCATTACTGAAATTTGAAGGCGCAGAAGATCGTTGGATTATTATGGAGAATTCCTCTCACTTAATCTCCTCCCCTTCTTCTTCTTCTTCTTCTTCTTCTTCTTCTTCTTCTTCTTCTTCTTCTTCTTCTTCTTCTCTCCTCCTCCTTCGTCTTTTTTCTTTTTTTTTTTTTTTTTTGTTGTTGATATTACTGTCATTGTGCCCCCACCCACTGGCTTTCCCCAGGCTTATATCGATATGGGTAACCTACAAGGGATTCTGAACTGAACTCTTTATTTAATTTACAGGTACCACTGCTTATACCAACTCTAGTTCTGATTTTATTTAGAATTGTTCAGTTATTACTCACCCTAAATTCAGAAACTAGCGTTTTAAACGATGGGGAATTGGCCTAGTTGATTAAAATGTTGGCTGTGTATTTGGAAGACATCATAGTTGGGACTTCAGTCCCTGGGTCGGTGGAAACGGGAGTGCAATAACATAAAATAAGAATGAGACAATATCTCTATTTGTTTAGTTTGGGCCATTAATTATGTGATAATGTTTTTTAAAACATATTCCAACATTTTATATTTTTTAATGTGCTAGATTTCTACACTCTGGTAAAACTCAGAATCGACAACATGTTATTAGAGCTCATGTGATCCGGCTATAAACCACATGTTACTGAACGTATCTATAGGCTGTTTCATTAAGACGGATCAAAGTCAGCAGTAAATAAATCAGTGTTATTGGTGAAAATTTATTTATTTCTCTATTGGATCATGTTATTTCAGTTATGGCAATTATGCATGAAAAATAATATCGGCTAAATGGTCAAAATTTTTGATGACGTCTTTGCATAGTTGCATAGTTGCTCCTCGATCTCAACAATATGCCTTATTATATCATCCTTCAGCTGTTGCATTGTTGTTGGCATAGACCTTACTTTTGAGATGACCCCAAAGGAAGAAATCTAAAGGCGTCAAGTCGCACGATTATGGTGGCCAATTGACTTCGCTGTTTGGAGAGATGATGCGACCTGAGAATTTCTCATTCAAATTCTATTTGAACGTCCATTTTCGTAATAGGCTTCGATAAGTTTAACACGTGTGATTGTTAATCTTTCCATGGTTGGAATTGCCAAAGACATAAGTTGTTAAATCTGAAAGAAAAATAAAAATAAAATCATTAGATCCTTAAACTTAATTCAAATTCGGTCCAAGTTATTGAAACACTCTTTATAATCTAAATTTGATAATGTGACCTAAAAGATACATGCTAGCAAATCACGTGACTTGTAAAAAATATGTCTTAACAATGATGAGTCATAATAAATCTTTGAAAAATATAAAATGTTTCAATATCTAAAAATAATATCGCATAACCAGTGGTCAAAGATAAGGACGTGTTTTGTTTAGCAAAGTATCGAAATCTACATATAAACTTTTCTTATTCTAAAAGTTAAAAAAATTAAAGATTTAATAAAAAGGTCAATACCAACTTAGCTCTAACCCTATTGTTGTTGTTTTTTTGTTTTTTTTTATTATCAAGGAACACATTCTTTGGGATGAAATTGTCCCCTTTTATCTTTCCACTTTAAAAAAGTCATAGTTTCAATCCGCGCACAAATTATCTACGCACAATCTGGGCCTTCATATGTTTTAATTTTACTTGCCTGGTTTAGGTTTGGTTTGGTTTGGTTTGTTTTACGGCATATCAGCCTCAGTGGGTTATTTATTACCGACAATTTTTATTGCTGGTAATATTTTTTTCAAAAAATGTATTGCTGGTAATAGTTTTTTCAAAAAATGTATTGCTGGTAATAATTTGTTTACAAAAAAGTATTTCTGGTATTAAAACCTACTTTACACTTTCCTAGTGTTTTGACCCTAGTTTGGGGGTTAACTATTTGCCCATAGCTTGGACCCTAACAGGTACTACCACTCCGGGTCAGGGTAGATCTGGGAACACCAGCAATTAAGAGGTAGTTCCACGCTCCTCAAAACCTCCTGGTCAGAGGCCTTACTGTCGGATGTAGTTTATCGTCTTACCCAGAACGCGGATGTAGTTTATCGTCATACCTAAGAGGATCGGCTGGTTTAGAATGTGAGACTGATGGAATAGGAGACCGGGACCAAAGAGAAAAATATATAGTTAGAATCAGACGATGTTTTGGCGGCATACGGACTTCTGGAATATGAAACGCAAAAAGAGTGTAGGCGGTGAAATATCCGCTTTACTTCTAACGACAGAGGAATTAGAATTAGAAATTCTGTATTCTGATCTGATGTGAAATCAGAAAACAAACGGAATCGTAATAGACACAATGGCAGCCTTAGTGGAATGACAAGATTACAGACATGGTATATCGTTCTATATATTATGCAAAAGCATTTGATAAAGTACATCACAAAAAAAACAAAAAAAAAACTGTTAGAACAGCTAGGCACCCTTGACATGTTTGGGAAGGATATTAGTATAATCCAGAAACTACAATGGCAGCAAATCGTCTGCATACGGGTAGAAAATTAATTCAGTAAATATACAAAAATAGAAAGCGGTTTAAGACAAAGATGTGCCGTCTCACCGGACTTTTTCAGTCTATACAGTGGGGAGGTACTGATGGATTAGAAGTTTTACCAAGATTAATTTTTGGCAGCTACAATCTTAACAATTTGATTTGATTTGATTTGTTTAATGACATATTACCTCCTTAGGGCTCATAATAATATATATATATATATATATATAATTATAATATAAATATAATTTTCTTAGGAGCTTTAAAGTAATAAATTATGTTTTAACAGTTGAATACATGGAAGATGATGCTCAGTTTTTGTGTATATAGACTTCAGTTAAAAAATTTGAGGATACCCCAGGTGATTTTTAAAATTAGCCTTAAAAGTAGTTGTTATATAATTTAAAAAAGAGAAAATTATTATACATGTTTTAAAAAAATAAGAGAAATTATTTTTATTAGAAATTTTATTATGACAAAAAGAAAAAAAATTATGATGTGCCTCGCTCTCGTCAAAATATCCTCCTTTTGCCTTGATTACTGCAGTACAAATTTTTGGCATTCATTGCAAAACATTCCCAAAGTATAAGTTTGACAATTTATTCCATTTTTTTCAATGAATTTAAGAGTTCATCCCATATTAATTCTAGGGTGGCTTCAAACCTTTAAACTGTAGATATATATATATATATATATATATATATATATATATATATATGTGTGTGTGTGTGTGTGTGTATGCGTGCACATTACATTGAATAGGACAGACAAGGTGCCTTTATTTAGTTTTTTATACAATTTCTCACGCAAACTAATCATTTTTTTTTCTTTTCGGATGATAAATTATATAATATATATATAAGATATTTTTATGTTTATACATTCTTTTTATAGATACAAATATTTAAGTAAATGCTCTGTTTATAATAAACAGTATTTACCAGCGAGAAGTTTTCATAGAAAATATTCGTCCTCCAACAGGAATCGAACCTGTATCCTATACGGAACCGTCATATTACTTAAATATATATATCTCTTTGTGTCTGTCTTTAATTTAAGAAATATTTTAATTTAAAAATTTGTCAGTTTGAAGAAAGTTAAAATAAAAATACTTACTGTATAAAGAACTCGTATTTTTAAATCTTATTCACTTAAAATATATTTTTAATTCAGATTAACTTAAAGATATTTTTAATATGCAAAAATACTTTAAAATCGTATTCACTTGAAAATATATTTTAAATATGCCAAAGATA